TCCTTGCTCTCCTTGCTCATGCTCTCTCTCACTGTCTCTCTCTCTCTCAAATAAATAAATAAAATGTTTTTTTTTTAAATCTGTGTTGTTATATATAGAAGCCCAATTTTCAGCATTTGAGTCAAACCAAAGTATGTGATTATAGAGTGAGTCTAGAACAAACCTAAATTAGGTCCAATGCCATTCCTATGCATAGGAACAAATTTCCAGCAATGCAGTTTGCAGTGGTTATGGGCTATCCTATGGCTTCCAAGCTTCCTCCCAATACCAGATTAATTGGCCATAAGTATTAGTTAAATGGCCAAGGGATGGATATCAAACCTTTTTGTAAAGCCACTTTCCTGCCATCCGAGCATGGTTCTGGAGTTGGTTCTAATATTCACTGAGAGTGTTCCTGAGCATGTAAGCAGGTATACACCAACAATCATTTTGCTTAGTAAAGGAGGGTATGCATTGAATGGTAGGCCTTAGTGAGTAGAGAAAATCCCTAACAGAAAAGGGAACATGACTGTAAATGTCCTGTGTTAGTTAATATCATGATAATTGTTATAAAAATGGGTCCTGGAAAAAGATAAGCAATCTAGCAGAAACTTTTTCAGTGGTCTTGGGTGTAAGCTATCCACTTTTGCCTTGTTTCTGCTTCGAGGGAAGATTGTTTGTTTTTCCTGGAAATCCTTAATTTGAAGTTAGCCATAGATTGATAAGCCCAAGAATTGAGGAATGGGGGGTTTCTCTTTAGTTGAGAGACATGGACCTGAAGTTCAATGCCCTATAATTTAACTGCTGTGTGAAAAAACAGAACCTGATAGAGCCCTTTTCATCAAGGCACAAGTGCTATTTTTAACTGATATCTCCTTCAGAACCCCCAGTCTCCAGGTTCCAGGGTATGAAGTATAATGTTATCATCATGCAGAGGATCTCTAAAAGCCTCCTTGACCTGCTGAATATAAGTTTTTGAATATTGCATTCATACTTTAAAGTATTGGGTCATATTGGAATTTACAAGGGCAAGATGTGCATGGGGTTCTATCATCAAAGGCATGGGTTGCCTAGTGATAAATTCATAAGGTGTAATTTATGTTTTCCCAAAAGATGTTGACTTCATTGTCATAAGGGCTAAGGGTAACACTTTAGGCCAAGGTACTCCTGTGGTTTCAGTCAATTTGCCAAATTTAATCTTAGAATATCGCTGGAACATTCGACCTCCCCTAAAGGCTGAGGATGACAGAGACAATGATAGGGCCATAGTGTTTGAATAACCTTGTTTAGTTGTATTATAATCCATCCAGGTAAAGTGAGCCCCTTGTCACTTGAAATTTCATTTGAGATTGCCCAGAATAGAAAACATTTTCTAGTAATTTCTCTGCTACTGTGGTGTCATCAGCTTGCCCACATGGGACTGCTTCTACCCATCTAGAGAAGAAATATACCACCACAAGTACATATTGATAGCACATAGAGGGAGAGAGTTGAAAAAAGTATAACTGAAAATGTTCAAATGGTCCAGATATTGGGGAGCAGTCCCTGGGGTTAGTTTAATGGTTTTAACCAGGTTATATGATTGAATAAACTCGTCATGCTAGTTTAGAACAATCACCCATTATATTTTTTCATAATATGAAAAGTCAATTCTGTGGTGGGTAGTCACTTGAAGCACTTGCAAGAGTGAGAACTGAGAGATCCAGGAAGCACGAGCCAGTCATATGCACCCTCCAAAGTCCTCTTTTTATGATAAATGTGCATCCTTCTTGGTGCCACTTTTACAATTTTTTGTCTGGTATACAAATTGTCTTAAGTAATCTGACTTGAACCTACAGTGGACCATAGATTGTGGAAATTCAGGAAAATGCTTTTACCAAAAGGTTTAGTATCTATCCCTTGGCCATTTTATGGAATTTATTTAATGTTTTGGTACATCGGGAGCCTTAGCACGAAAGTTAGCCATTGCATTTCCCTGGTATTCAGCGTCTCATAAGAGGGTATGAGCCTCAATTTCTGTGATAGCAACTTGTGAGGACACTAATAATGTAGAGGGAAGGTCAGCAACCTGAGATCCTATTTTACAGCTGTACCACTTGATGTTGAAAATCTCTCTTTCCAGGGGCACCTGGCTGGTTCAGTGTTAGGGCACATGACTCTTGATCTCAGGGTTGTGGGTTTGAGCCCCACGTTGTGTACAGAAACTACTTGGAAGGAAAAGAAAAAAAGAAAAAAAAACTTTGTTTCCAGAGCATACCAAATCATGAACTACTCTGAAGGCATACCTGCTATTGGTATAAATTTGCAGTTTTTTCTTTTGTCAATTTAGAGGCCCAAATGAGAACCAACACCTCTGCAGGTTGGGCTGAATTAAGTAAAGAAAGGGCTCCCCTTCCTGAAAACTCATGTTGTGTCATGACAGCAGGTTTGACTTGATATTTTCCTTCAGAATTTTTGGCATAGGAGATATCAAGGCAGAGTACTAAATCTGGATTAGCATTTAATAGGGTTTCTTGTAAACCTAATTTGGGAGTTTGATTTGAGATCAACTCAACGGTTATGAGTCTCTCCTCTGTTATGTAAGGATAGGAGAGTAGAAGGATTTAAAGAGTCGCAGGAATCCAGCTCCCTGCTCAGCAGGGAGCCTGCTTCTCCCTCCCCACCCCCCCACCTTGTGCTCTCTCTCTCTCTCTCTCTCTCAAATAAATAAATAAAATCTTAAAAAAAAAAAGAGTTGCTGGAAAGAATACTGAGGAGACAAGAGTAGAATCTCATAAAAATGTTGTCTACTAGCTGAGAAATGGTGTGTATGCTGTGTTTGGCAAACTTTCTACAGCATGAAGAACCTGTAAATCTAATTCATTTTCCTGAACAAGTTTCAGGGAGAGTTCTGTAATTTTAGCGGCTGCTAAAATTCTGTAAATTTAGCGGCTACACCCTTTATAAACAATTTGGGTATATCCTGGTCTTTGGATGCAATTGTAAGCTATAATAGTCTTTAGGGCTATTTTTCCCTTCCTTTTCTTGAGTTAAGGGCTCCCTGAACCTGATTATTACATTCCTGAACAAACAACGTAAAAGGTTTAGCATAGTCAGGAAGTCCCAACACAGGAGAATTCTGTAAAGCCCATTTAATTTCAGTAAATGCTTCCTCCTACTTGTTTTCCAAAAAAGAGGTTCTTGAGTATTGTGCCTAGAGTGAAGAAGCTAACTAGGAAATGTCAGGCACCCAGGACTGACAATATCCTGCAAGTCTCAGAGGACAATCCCATTTCATAGAGCTCCCCAAGTGAGTACAGGATCTTTCTTAAGGGTTTTCTGCGTTAATGGAAAATGCATAGGATCCCTGAGAGGACATTTAGGACAGGAACACAGTGAGAGCTGAGTGGAGGTTTGTAAGGATTCTGGAAGAAATGTTTACTGAGAGCCTCCTCTAGGTTTGGCTGTGTATATAAGATGACTAAAATACTCCCAGCTCTGAAACCGCTCTTACTCTAGAACCAGCCACTGCCTAATGATATTAGAAACATTGGTCAGAAATATGAGTAAGGGGCGCCTCGGTGGCTCAGTGGGTTAAAGCCTCTGCCTTCGGCTCAGGTCATGATCTCAGGTCCTGGGATCGAACCCTGCATCGAGCCCTGCATCAGGCTCTCTGCTCAGCATGGAGCCTGCTTCCCCCTCCCCCTCTCTGCCTGCCTCTCTACCTACTTGTGATCTCTGTCTGTCAAATAACTAAATTCTAGGAAAAAAAAAAAAAAAGAAGAAGAAAGAAATATGAATAAAGTATAACGTGGTTTAAAAGGTTCAAAAGGATCTGATGCTACCTGGGGGATGACCTGTTTGATCCCCATTCTGGCTCCTTCTAATGCCTGGATTCCCTGTTCTAAACCAGTGACTGGGACCTTGGGCAAATTTCCGCTTCTCAGGAAACCACTAGCCCCTGTACTCCCTGCTGGCTCAGAGTCTCCAAGAAAAACGGGTGAAACTGGAAGTCATTGGTTCCGCTCTAGCACACCTACAGAAGCACAAGGGATGTCAAGTTGGTCTGATAAATTCACCATTACCAAAGTCATGAGTGATAAACTGTCTTCTTTTTGATAAGACAAATGCATTACTGGCATTGCTCTACTCATCCCAACATTTAAAATAAAGTTCACTCTCGATCACATTTCTAAAAGGGCAAGTGGTCATCTTACCCTCACTTTGCAGACGAAGAAACTGAGGCACAGAGTAGTAAAGTGACTTCCCAAGTTTGCAGCAGGAGGGTAAAGGGAGCACCCTGGGCCTACAATCTGGGCTTGCTGCCTCCTCTTCATCCATCCAGCCATGCTGCCTCTCTCAGGAACAAGATGAACTAAAACCTCCTCTTTTACTCTCCTCTATAACAAATAGTCGCCATGTTGGCCAGGATATTATGGGATATGAAGTTAGTTCACGTCATTTTTTTGGAAGTCATTTTTCAGATCATTCTTCTGAACACTGTGAGCAAAATACTGTGCTGGTTAGTTACGCTGGAGCATATAGAAGTGGCAGAATACAGTGGTTAAATTAAAGGAGCCTGAAGATGTCCTACCCATGGAGCCTGGCTGTCTACAGGAAAGGACCTACACAGATAGGTCCATCCTGGTGATGGAAGAATCCTGTTGCCTGGAACAAGTGGTTCCTTTTCTCAGATGATGGTTTTTCCTTTCAACTTTCCAATTAATGCCTGGCTTTGCTTACTGTATTGAGATGGTTTATAAACCAAAGAGAGCAACTGGGAGTAGATCTGAAAGCAGAACTAGAGAAGAAAGTCTGGTTCCATTTTCAGAAGTGGGGCTGGGGAAAGACACGTTTGGAAGAGAACTTCCAAGCAGAAGAAAGCTTTGTATTCCTTCCTTCATTCCCTTTACCACATTCAGGTCATGAAACATGTGCTATATAATTCAGTGTAGGGGATTTTGGGGTGAAGTACCTTCTGCTGAAGGACCATACCCTATCAGTCACCTCTTTTCCTATTTACTGTTTCTTTCCCACTTTAGGAAATACCGTTCCTTGATCCAGGATCAGGCTCGAGAGTTGACCCACCTAAGGCAAAAGATGAGGATGGGGAGAGCTTTCTCTTCTCTTCTCATCCAGCATGTCAGGAATACGGTGAAAACCTTTGAGGAGCTCCTTAGCAGCAATAAAGTTGACCGCTACATGGAACAGCACTTCCGTGAGCAGCTGACCAAGGCGAGCCTGCTGGCAGAGAGCCTTGCCAGCAAATTCAGCACAGGTAAGCTGGTCCCAGGGCTCAGGAGGATCTTCAGTCCCTCCCAAGGACCCCAGCCTCAGACAAGCTCAAACTCATCTATAAGTGACTTTTCAATCTGATGTCCTGCTTTGTAATGACCATCTTGGAACCATGGTGGAGTCAGGACTGGCTGGAGAGGAACAATGAAGAGAATCACACAGGAATGGGGATGCCAGGATGATCACAAGCTCCTTTATCTCCCGTGGAATGTGGTCGCTAGGGCAAAAAACATCTCTGGGGGGTGATAGCATTTATCTGAAATTAACTGGCAGCAAGATAGGTAGAATGGGGACAGCTGGTTGCTGTGAACAGAGCCCTGAATTAGGATCTGAAGACCATGGCTCTAGTCTGTATGTGTTCATTGCTAGCTCTGGACACATTCATACTTCTCTTGATTTCTGTTTTCTCACCTAAAAAAATTAGGTCAAGTAATACCAGCATGATTGTTCTAAGGATCAAATCAGCAATATTAATCAGTGCATTTCAAAAAATGATAAAAGAATCATGCTGATTTGGGCATGGCTTAGATACTGTATGTACTACAACCTGGTAGTGGGAAATTTAGTTTCAGGTGCCTTTTTCATGGAATATTCCCTAGAGCACCTGAGGGCACATAGTAAGAGCAGGCTTGAGGTCACTGTGTGGGTTTCTGATACCAGATCAGAGGCAGGACAGGGATGTCTGTCACCCCTACAGAGACAGGAGTAGATTCTGCATGAAAGCTGTGACAGGGTATACAGATGTGAGGCCAAAACCCAGCCTTCTGGCAGGACTTGGAGACTCTGGTTAGAGTGGTCCAGAGGTCTCTGGACAAGTGTCTCATGGCCTGTAGGAAAAATGACATTTTTAGCTTTTGACTCTGACCTAGGACAAAGCAAAAAGAAATGATGATCTCTGTGGTGAGTAAGTTCTGGAAAGTTAGGAAAGCCTGTCAGGTAAGTTCTCCAAAGTCTCAACCCAATGTCTCCTGAGAAAATTCAGAGTATCCTGGACTGGAAAATCAAGTAGTCACATCTGATCCCAGAGAAAAGTCAGTGTCTTTCTGTAATCTGAGGAATGAGACCTGCTTAAATTATAACTAGTCCTTTTTGAATCTGGTTTTCAGATGACTGTACAAGTGAGAAGAATCAAGCAAGACAGATGCTGCGAACCCTCAGGTAACTCCCAATTTTCAGGGGCTGTAGATCATATAATCTGGTGAAGGATTTAGAAGCAAGGGCCAGAAACTCAAAGCCGGAGCTCTTACACCCCACAAAAAGCAAATGGCTGATTATAATATCAAATCATTACGTGTCCCTAGTGATGAAGTTGTCATGTTTCCTATTTTTTTAATTTATTATTATTTTGGTCCCATTCTCTATTAGTTCATCAATTTAGCGATACTGACCTGCTCTAACTTAACTACCCAGTCTTGTGAGTCTCCTGAGTCCTCAGGGACCCCCTCTGATTTCCCCTAGATCTTTAAAGACCAGAGTGAAATTTTATCTGGTTTTTTCCATGGTGACCCCAGAGGTGCTGGCAGATGTTAAATAGCTACAGATTTTCCTCACAAAAGAAGAAAAAGCTTTTCACTGTATGACAGTACTTCGGGAAGGTCGAGAAACTACAAGACACCTGGGAGGCCACATTGCCTTGGAAGCAGTTTTAAATGGGCCACGGCAAATATTACTGAAAGCATCATTGTTCACGGAGTGTGTCAAACCCTCAAAGAGCTCTGGTTGTCTTGTAAAGGAGCCAGGAGCATTATTGAAAGGGCTGAATGAGTCTTCTCTCTTCCTCGGGATGTTTGTGGCCAAGGCTCTGGGCCACTGTTGTTCTCCCCTGCTCCCCACTCTCCACTTCCAGACAGAAATGAACTGTTTGGCTTCTCCTTCTAAGGAACAGTCTCCTTGACTTCTGGAGCTTGTCCTTTGAGCCACCAGATCGTTACAGCCATGTCATTCAGGTGACCTTTATTTTTCCTCTTTCTTACCCTACCAGTATCTTAAGGGAGAAGCATATGAAGGGTAAAGTGACAGAAGTCCTAAGGACCATGCAGGAGGCCCAGCCCCAGACTCTGCCCCAGATACACTCCAGCAACCGTGGCCAGTCTGCTGCCCATCCATCCTCCAGCAGCACCTCCCTGCTTCACGAAGAGCCAGAAGCATGCCCTTCAGTGGATGTGACCGGTGAGCACCCAGACCGTGTCCAGTTGCTAGGTGCTTGCTCCTTTGTCTACACCAAAAGCAGGTATCTTTGCAGCCAGGCCCTGCAGATCCACCCTGATGTCCCTGGAGAGCACAGGCCCAGGACTCAGTTCCAAGCGTAGGCCACAGGGGTGTCAGGTGGTTCTTTTCCATTCCTAGTCCCACACGTCCTCAGCCACCAGACCCTCTCTGGCACATACATGGTGTTGGACTTGAGGGGAGGAATCATGAGTTGGGAAGAGGAAGGGGCAAACACTCCCTTATCATTGTAACCCAGTCATGTCACCTTTCACATCATGGGCATGAACTTCACTCACATTGGGCCTCTGATCTTGAAATCCTTGGGGTAAACAGTCACGGTTCCTATTTTCTGTTTGCCACTAAATATTCTTTATCATTTGTGGATTTGCAGAGCCCATCCATCATTCTAATAATTCAGCCACAATGTCCTCTGAACCTTCATTAACTGGGACGTGTCTTGGGTTCAGGCTGTATCCGTCACCAGCCTGGCCCTCCCCAGAATCCCCCAAGCAGGGGCTTTGGGTAGCTGTGGTGGGGGGTAGGAGGAGGAGAGTACATTTAAAATCAAACCTTTATTTTTTCCTGGTCAGTTTTTCTTTAATTTCCCTCCCAGGAAAAGCATTTCTATTTTTAGGGAACTATAGCAAGCAAATCCCAGTGAGGACAACACCGAGAAACCATCCTTTGCCTCTGGCTAGATCTGATTTTTTTCCCCTGAATTGACTGTTTTAGGCAATGAATAAACCATAGTAGGTTTCACCTGGTACTATTCCTGCTTCTCATTTTACCCTGAGGACAAGAGCAACATAGTGTTTCTCCCAGGAAGATAGAAACCAAGGAAAGAGGAGTGCCTGGGTGGCTCAGTGGGTTAAAGCCTCTGCCTTTGGCTCAGGTCATGATCCCAGGGTCCTGGGATTGAGCCCCACATCTGGCTCTCTGCTCAGCGGGGAGCCTGCTTCCTCCTCTCTCTGCTTGCCTCTCTGCCTACTTGTGATCTCTGTCTGTCAAATAAATAAATAAGATCTTAAAAAAAAAAAAAAAGAACCAAGGAAAGAGAGGAGTTTACATTTATTGAGCACATATTTAATGCTCACATTATTGACTACTTTACATCTCTTGCCTCATTTAATCAGCACAACCAACCAATCTCTCAGGTAGGTGGTGGTATCCCAATTTTACAACACAGCCGAGGACACTGAGGCTCAACGAAGTCAGGGAACTTACGGAAGAGCTCCCAGCTGGGGGTGCCATTCACCTTGAGCCTGCACAACCCGAAAGCTCAGACGGTCCCCTGCACTGTGGCCTGAGCAGCCAGGGACGGAGCAGGGAGGCAGTCACTCTTCCCACACCTCTTTTGCTGGGTTTCTGGAGCTAGTGTTTGCCCCACTCCACTCTTTGTGACACTCTGCACGTGAGAAAAGATCCTATACACATTGCACTTTCATCCAAGAATTTATAAATATATGGGCTGCCCTTGCTATGTACATGACCTCCTCCAATGGGCCCATGGGGTTTTACCTACATCCCTGAACTCAGTTGCCCAAAGGCACCTGCTTCCTCCTCATTGCTACCCTGAGAGACAGAGGCAGAGGGGCAGACACACTTTCCCCTCACCTGCAGTTCCTGCCATGACTGGTAGGAATGGTCACACTGGAGATGTGGCCTCTGGGGTGGCATTGGCCTTCTTCTCCACCACCACTAGCTTTTCTGAGGGAGACGGAAGCCCTTCTTTTTTCCATCTGAAGTCATTATCCTCTCAGAGGGGCTCCTCCTTTGCTTTTTTGAGCCAAAACTTCTAGAGTATTTAACAAAAAGTGTGATTGATGTGGGAGCTTCCCTTGTGAGGCAGAATTATCCTGGCCAGAGGCTGTTCCCCGTTGCCTTCTGTGTACAGTGTAGGGCATATTTTCTGTGTTGTGTGGCCAGGGGAGACCGGGACATGAGAAGCCTGACCACTATTACTGATGGATTGGACCTCCTGTGGCCTTGGTTGAGAGTAAGCGGGTTTTCTGGAGAGGGGGTAGAGGAGGTTTGGAAGGAGCTGGGAATCACCTTTTTGTTGAGTGCCTACATTGTCAGGCATTGTGCTAAAGGCTTATGTAGTTTACCTTCTTCTTTCTTTCACAGTGATGTTAATTAATCGGTTATTAGGTAATGCCAGCCATAATGGAAGGAGAAGATCTACCAGATGTTGACTTAAGTGCACAGTTCCTTAGAGGAACTTGACTTGGTTGAAGGGAACTAAGGACTTCACTCCTATCTTCTCAGAGGAGAAATTGCCTACTCTGTGGCCCTTGGTAATAATCCTTGAAAGGGAGCTGACTCATATTTTTAGCTGAATTATGGCCCTGCTACCCAGGAGGGGTTTTTTTTCACAAAGGGAGACAGCAGAGGGCATAGCCAGGTTCTCATAGCATCATTGGTGCCATATAGTTTTGCTTCTGCAATCCCCCATGCAGAAGAAAACCAGTCATTCTTTGGACAGGAGTCAGGCAATCTAAGCTATATTTAAGAATTATTGTTACAGTCTCGTGAGCCATTCTGGGTGGGATCCAAATCACCACCTGCCATCCTCAGAGACTCCCTCAGTCTCAGTAGGCATCCAGAGTAGGAGACAGGAGGAGAGGGAGGCGCCAGGAGCATCAACCTGTTTAAGTTCTCTGCACGTTGGCTATTAATGGAAGCCATTTTCCCTTTCTCTTCCTCCTTCAACAATCCCCAGTATAGAACGGTCTCATGAAGGGTGAGTATATTACCTGTTCACAGACCAGCAAAATGCTTCATCTCCTTAATCTCATGATTTCTAAGAAGGGCAGTGAGTTCTACTACTGGAGGAGACATTTCTGCAGTTCCTCCCTGGGATCATTCCAGCACTGGGAATCCTGGAGGGAGCCAGGAGAGAGGCCCTTGTTCTTCTCATGTGCATGCACTGGAACCCTCAAATACTACATCTAATCACTACTTCTTTGTTTTTCCTTTTTTTAAAATTCAAGTATAGTCAGATACAGTTATATTAGTTTCAGGTGTACAACAGTGTGACTCAGCAATTCTCTGGTGCTCCTGGGAACTGGGTGGCTCAGTCAGTTAAGCATCTGACTCTTGGTTTCAGCTCAGGTCATGATCTCAGGGTCATGAGATTGAGCCCCACATCGGTTTCCATGCTTGGCACGGAGCTTGCTAAAGATTCTCTTAAGATTCTCTTTTCCCCATCCTCGCTTTCTCTCTCTCTCTCTCTCAAAAAACAAAAACAAAAACCAATTCTATACATTTCTCAGCACTCATCATGATAGGTTCACTCTTAATCCCCTTCACTTATTTCCCCCATCGTCCCATCACCTCCCCTCTGGCAACCACCAGTTTGTTCTCTATATTTAAGAGTCTGTTTTTTGTTTATCTCTTTTTTTCCTTGGTTCTTTTGTTTCTTAAATTCCACATATGAGTGAAATCATACAGTATTTGTCTTTCTCTGACCAACTTATTTCACTTAACATTATATCCTGTAGCTCCTTCCACGTTGTCACAAATGGCAAGATTTTATTCTTTTTATGGCTGAGTATTATTCCATTGTGTATATACACATCTTCTTTATCCATTCCTCTATGGGTGGACACTTGCTTCCATAATTTGGCAACTGTAAATAATGCTGCAGTAAACATAGGGATGCATATATCTTTTCAAATTCATGTTTTTGGGTTTTTTTGGGTAAATACCCAGAAGTAGAATTACTGGATCATATTGGTAGTTCTATTTTTAATTTTTTGAGGAACCTCCATACTGTTTTCCACAGTGGCTGCACCAGCCTGCATTCCCACCAACAGTGCATGAGGGTTCCTTTTCCTCTACATTCCCATTCGCTGACACTTATGTTTTTTTTATTTTAGCTATTCATACAGGTGAGAGGTGGTATCTCATTGGGGGTTTGATTTGCATTTCCCCGATGATGAGTGATTTTGAGCATCTTTTCATATGTCTGTTGGCCATCTGTATGTCTTCTTTGAAAAAAACGTCTATTTGTGTTCCACGTCCATTTTTTAATTGGATTATTTGGGGGGTTTTGGTGTTGAGTTATGTAAGTTCTTTATATATGTGGATATTAACCCCTTATTGGATATATCATTTGCAAGATATTCTCATTCGGTAGTCGTCGTTTTGTTTTGCCAAAGCTTTCCTTTCCTGCACAAAAGCTTTTTATTTTGTTTTAGTCCCAATAGTTTAATTTTGCTTTTGTTTCCCTTGCTAAAGGAGACGTATCTTGAATAATGTTACTATGGCGGAGTCAGAGAAATCACTGCCTGTGCTTGAATTCTGGTATCTGCTCTAGTCTTCAGTCCAGGGATTACTGTATTAATTTTTTTAAGGCTGCTGTAACAAAGTATCGTGGACTGTGGTTTTTTTTAAAGATTTTATTTATTTATTTGACAAAGAGAGATCATAAGTAGGCAGAGGCAGGTAGAGAGAGAGAGGAGGAAGCAGGCTCCCCGCTGAGCAGAAAGCCCGACGCAGGGCTCAATCCCAGTACCCTGGGATCATGACTTGAACCGAAAGCAGAGGCTTTAACCCACTGAGCCAGCCAGGCACCCCAAACTGTGTGTTTTAAAACAAACAGACATTTGTTCTGTCCAAGTTCTGGAGGCTAGAAGTCTGAAATCAAGGTGTCAGCTGGCCCATGCTCTTCCTGGTTTCTGGTGGTCGCTGGGAGCCTCCCTTGGCTTGTAGATGGATCACTTCAGTGTCTGCCTCCTGACTCCCTCATCATGGGGTCCTCTCACCCTGTGTGTCTCTTTATCTGTGTCTCCTCTCCTATTCTTTTAAGGACACCAGTCATGTTGGACGAAGGTCCACCCTAAGCCAGTATTGTCTCATTCTAACTCATTATATCTGCAAAGACCCATTTTCAAATAAGGTCACGTTCTGAGGTTCTAGGTGGACATGACTTTTTGGAGGACACTATTCAACCCAGTATAATTATCTTTAAGATACTTTATTTCTGACTTCCCACTGGTTTCTCCCTCATGTTCCTTTCTGGACAGATGTCAGCCGGGCCACTCCTGCTGATTCAGCTTCGTTGCTCAGCAACCATCCAGATGCCAGATCTGCCCAGCCCTCCTACCCTCCAAGCGGCGCCACACAACTGAGCAGGATGCCAGACCCAGGGCACCGGGGGAGCAGTGGCCCACAGGACGAGATGCAGCCTCAGAAAATGAATGCGTCTGGGCACCTATCCTCCTTCTCCTCTTTGTACCGGCCCAACTCCAAGCCCTCTGGTAAACACAAAGGAACGATCGTGAAGTAGAGCCCATTGTTGGGAATGAGCACATTCTTTCCCGGCCCAAGGATTTTTTTATTCTTCTGTTAGATCCTGGCTCACAGAACTGGGTGAGATGAAGGGGGTGGTATCTGGTGGCTCAGCCAGAGAATAAGATGCCAGCCCAGTGCTGGTCCTTTCTAAGTGCCTCTCCCATTCCCCCTACACAGGAATTCATGCTAAGCAGGAGAATACAGGAAGTCAGGGGCATTCTGAGGCACTCCACAGAGAGGATGAGCTGTTTCACATTCGTGGGCTCCCTTTTCTCTGGGCTATAATCTTTCTAGGCCTACACTGAAACTGTTCTTAGAATTCCTAGCTCTGGATTCCATGGGAAAGGTCTTCTTCCTTAGGTCAAGAGCTATTTACTGCAGGATGGGAGACTATTTCTCCAAGTACACTCACACATCCTTTGTATGCAACCCTAAGTCAGTCTTGCCTCTCAAACTTTGCTATTGAGTTTAGAGCCAGGTGTCCTGGCCACCAGTGACTAAAGGTACAGCCATAAAGAGGAATGGCTTGAAGCATGTCAGTTTTGGGGACCCAAACAGTGCAACCATAAGACATTTGAAACCCTCAGAGAAAAACCTGGCCCTAAGCAAGATGTCCTGGTAGATGAAGCCCATTTTTGGCCTCTTTCCCCTTCCCTTAGTGCATCCTCTGCCTTCCTCAGAGGAGTCCCCTTCTCTCCTTTTCCTCCTTCAGGTCCTAACACCTTACCAGTCCCCTCCTTGTCACTCTTCACTGAAAGTGGTTAAAGGAAAACACTCAGTGTCTCTCATTATTCGCTGCCTGATTTAATTTAATATGCATTTACCTTTGCCTTTCTATTGGTGGGTGGATGTTAAAGACTTTCAGTCACGGATCATCAGGTAAGATAGGTATGAGGTAGAGAGAGAGGCCTTCTGGATTACTACCAGGAAATAGACCAACTTTCTATTGTTCGGACAGTCCCACCTGGAGGCCTGTAGCAGATTCTCACCCTTGTTTTCCAGCCCAGTGTCCATCTCTCTCAGATGTACTCGGCCTCTATCTGGGAGGAGGCCCTGTGGGGTTTCCTTACAGAGGGCCATCTTGTGTTTGAAAGCCCACGAGCTCTTTAAACAAATTTGACTGTTGCTTCTTGAGTGCCCAAGTGAGAGAAAGAAGTTGACAGAATTACAGGGATGGGCAGGGATCTGGAAGAGAAGTTCTGGGCAGTCTCCATAGCTGCCCACGAGTGACTGGCTTTCCCCACCTCTTACCTCTCCCATGTCTTGGTGGGATGCAACAGGAGCTGACCTACTGGAAAAGAATCTTGTGGAGATCCAGAACCTGCGCCAGCGCCTGGAGGAGTCCATCTGCTTCAATGACCGCCTGCAGGAGAGGCTGGAACATGTGCTCAGCAGTGCTGACCAAGGAAAAAGTAGGAAAGGGGAAAAACTGGTTCTGTCCACATCTAGAGTCTCAAAGGGCACATAGGGCACATAGGCTCCCAGTGAAAAGGCATGTCGGTGTGTGTGCAGTACCCTAGTCTTCCTGACAATCTGCCCAGAGAGGGAAGCAGGGAAGGCACAGTTGTCCCCACTTTATACATGAAGACACTGAGTGTTTTGCCCCAGGCAGAGCTGGGTCTCATGCTCAGGGCTGTCTGACATGATGCCCATTCATGTAACTCCCAACACTACCTGGTCTTGCACCTGGCTTATGGCCTGACTGGCACATGATAGAACCAAGACTTCCACGATGTCCCCATCAACAGAGGGAGGACCACATCCCACTTTCTTACCACGGCCCCATGCCCCAGATACCACCTGCCACCACCCATTACGTGAAGGGCCCATATTCCCATACTTGCCACAGGAGGCTGTCACTCGGAGACCGGTACTTCCACATCCCTTCTCCCTTGTCAAGCTCAGGAGAATGGCGGCCAGAGCTCCTACAGCATCACAGTAGCAGCTAATTCATGGGAGAGACTGTCCCAGAGCTGCAGCCATTGCGCATGAGTGTGCAGCCTGCTCGCGTGTGACTCAGCCACATCACGCTCTCGTGCCACTGCATGAAGCCCCCAGGGGTTCTCTGTGGCTAAGGCTCTAAGGCTCTAACTTTGGTGGTTGCAGGAAAGTATATCTTTGAGAGCATCTGCTTCCCAGGACTATGATTGTCTGAGTTTTTTAACTCCCTCTGATAGTATCCACATCTGGCTTTCATGGGTAGAACCCGAAGTCTGTGCCTCAGCTCTACCACAAGAAAAGGGACTTTGGGAAAGCAAACTGGAGTTTTCAGCTTACAGAGGGCAAAGCCCAAACCTGGTCACTTCCATGTTCCCCCTTTCCACAGCAGTACCCAGTTATAGAGACAAAGAGAAGAGGGTGGAAGGTACAAAAATTGCTTAGACCCATATGAGCCAAAATTGTAATAGTTATTCTCAATTTGAATACGATGGCTGCTTCTTATAAGGTCCTATCTACACATCCCTAGGAATGCAGGAGTGAATAGCTCTGGGAAGTTCACATTTAGTATATAAGTCCCTTGCTCCATCTTTGCAGATAACCAGGGAGTCACTAGCTGCGAACTGGATCCCTGCTTAGTGCTCTCTCCCTCCCTTTCCCACTTCCAGCTGAATGTGAGTAAGGAGGGAAAGGAATGTCAGCTTTTTTCGAGTAGTCAGTGAAGGAGTAGTCAGTGAAGAGTTCCCTCCGTCCCTGCAGACATCACGCCGCTCTGTCTCTCCCTCCCTCCCTAGGCACGACACAGTCTGCTCCAGGTGTCCCCCTGGCAACCCCTCATCCTTACTCTCAGAGTCACTCTTCCAGCTCTGCCTAGGATGTCTTGTGACATGATGTCTGGATGGTCTAGAAGAATGTTCTCCAGAACTTTTCCAGCCCTATTCAACAGCATTCTTGGCTGTGAACTTGGAGGCATCGACATCAACCTTTAAATGAATGGATCAAATTAATAAATTCTTATTTAAAAATTATTGTCTATAGGTATTGAATACAAAGAGTCAAATTTGTGAGGAAAGGCTAAAACCAGTAACGGCCTAAAAATTCATAGAAAAGGTTAAAGGAAAAATGAGTTTCATCTATTAGCTATTTCTTCTTTTTTTTTCTTTTGCAAAACACTTCTTTATTACAGCAATATATAAAGCAAATATAAGCTTTTTTTTATAAGATTTTATTTACTTATTTGTCAGAGAGAGAACACAAGCAGGAGGAGCAGCAGGCAGAGGGAGAAACAGACTCCCCGCTGGGTAAGCAGCCTGATGCAGGATTCGATCCCAAGACCCTGGGATCATGAACTGAGCTGGAAGCAGACGCCCACCTAACTGAGCCACCCAGGGGTCCCTAAAGCAAATATAACTTTAAATGTTTATGACCACGACTGTACATTATTATGACTGCTGGTGTTTTCAGCTTACTCAAATTTGGGGTAATAGCTTATATGTAATTCTTGAAATTCACTGACCTTCTTTATAAAAATGTGGGTGGCTCAGTCGTTGGGCATCTGCCTTCTGCTCAGTCGTTGGGCATCTGTCATGGTCCTGGGGTCCTGGAATCGAGCCGTGCATTGGGCTCCCTGCTCGGTAAGAAACCTGCTTCTCCCTCTCCCACTCGCCCTACTTGTGTTCCCTCTCTTGCTGTCTCTCTTTCTGTCAAATAAGTAAATAAAATCTTTTTTTAAAATGTGGGATTGAAATGCATGTACACATTTTCAAGAATATCTAAATTTTCACTCTCCTGACTTTATTCCCAACCTTGGCATTTTCACACATCCTTGGTGAGTTAACCAAACTTGAGGCCTTTTGTTACTAAGACCACCAGCAAGGTTATGTTTGCCAGTGGCAATATCCTTAAAAGTTAATAATAACTGTGGTCACCAATAGATTTTTGACCTAGTTCCTTCTTCCTTGAGGGCAAATGAACTTTCACCTGGGCATTTCATCCAACCCCTAAAGATTGCCGATCCTTCAAACACCTCCTTAAAAGCACTTTATTAAGCAGCCATTTCCATTTTAATAGTAGGGTGAGAATCGTACCCCTCAATCTGAAAGCCTTCAGCCTTGAAGTCATCGATTGTCTCAACTTTTAGAAGCATTTTGAGGGTTTTCAGCAGCCCAACATGATTCAGGTAAATATATGCATCTCCCAAAGTATCTATGAAGTTAGCTGGCTTCAGGCCTGTGATATGTGCAAGCATGTAGGTGAGGAGGGCCCAGGTAGCGGGTGATGAAGGCCACACGTAGGCCCATGTCTCGAAACCCATGGCCCAACTGGCAGGACAGCTCAACTTCACCACATAGTGCCAGCAGAGACCATGGAGGGGAGGCAGATCCCCTGGATTCCAACCACCCAGGATGATTCTTCCATCACCAGGGTTGGTTTGGATTGCATCAGTCACCTTTTGCAGTCGGTCTACTCCTTGACCTGAAGAATCTGAATTCTTATCTCTGTTTTCTGCCCCACAATACCCACTGAAAGCCTGACCTAGAGCTAGTTTCCTCCTTTGCCTCAGGTTTACGGCATCCTCCGCAGTCTCGCGCTTCAACCTCAGTGAGAATGAGGTGGGTCACCTAAGTCCCTCCCTTGCCACACTTGAGCCTCCCTTGGTGATCTCAGCCATAACACCCCTCAACACCCTTGCACAAGCAGCTCATGGATTACCCACCGAGTACCTAAGGCCAGACTGTACCATGCCCTCTAGGTAGGTCCCATTCATGAGCCATATACAATGGCTCTATGACAACCTTCAGCAAATCAATCAAGATACCTCCCAAGTGCGCTCATGTTCAGCATACTGGTAACCTGAATAAAAGTATAATAAAAAAAATCAGCTGGGCAAATCAACATCAAAAACATGTGTCCACTTTCATATTCAAGGAGATTTATTGGAAATTGACCTTATGCACCCAGAGTGAAATGTAAAACCAACAAGTATAAGAATAAAATTCATACCAAAAAAAAAGGCAGAAACAAAAGCATCGGGGCGCCTGTGTGGCTCGGTGGGTTAAGCCTCTGTCTTCAGCTCAGGTCATGATCTCAGGGTCCTGGAGGGAGTCACTGCATCAGGCTCTCTGCTCAGCAGAGGGAGCCTGCTTCCCTCTCTCTCTCTCTCTCTCTCTCTCTGCCTGCCTCTCTGCCTACTTGTGATCTCTGTCTGTCAAATAAATAAATAAAATATTTTTAATAAAATATTTTTAAAAACAAAAACAAAAAAGCATCCCACAGGGAGGGGTGGTAGTGAGAGGTGAGACATGAGGAGGTCAAAATTGACCTCAATTTAAATGAAACAAGAAAATGATATTGGAGTATATTAAGAAGAATATCAAAAGTCAGGGGGGGAAACCTTCTACTGAATTAATGAGTCATATCTCAGTAGAATATTGCATTTATGTTTAAGTTAGTTTCATTTTTTGAAGAATGTGAACATCCGGAAACTGGAGAGAACTCAAAAAGAAATATCTAAAACTCTTTGATTTTTTATTTGAGAAGGAGCCATACAATCTATTTTAATTACAAGGGAATGAGGATTGACTTTTTGACAGTCCTCAGTAAGGGTGGGAAGGTGGGAATATGTATGCCTTGATATTGTACTTACATAGAGAGGATTGAACAAGCAACAGTATTTTGGGTTTTTAGAGGTGGTTGGTTGGCAATTTGGGCAGAAATGTATAAAAAGACTGCAAATGGCTGCTAAAATAGACAATGCCCAGAGAGTAGACTTTTAGAGCAGGTTGCACTGGGTGTTGGGTTTAGCTAGACAACCAAAAGGCAGAGGCTCTCTGGGTAAGAAGCTCTCCTTACATTCTAAGTCTGTGCTTGTAACTCCAGACAGTTGCTGGCAATTTGGGGGATGCAAGCCCCCAGTCTTTAAGCTCTGGCATGCTGAGTCTCCCTCTCCCAGATCCAGCACTCTCCCAGAAAAGGAGTCTCACGGAACTCTATCTCAATTGTTTCCGTCTTCATTTAATCTACTTTTTTGTCTCTTCTCACACTCCTCGCGATGGTCCTCACCCTCCTCTCTCTCCATGGCAGCATCCTCTTCATAATATAGTTGCTATGTTTTCCCCATGTTAAAAGATCTGACATTGATCATGCCACTGCTCTACCCCCCAGGAGGGTCTGCCCTTATGATCTCGTCCTCCTCTGGGATCCTATTGTTTGACCTGACTTATATCAGTTGTGATTTCTTTCAGCTCACTGAGGTGGCTTAGCAGAAATCCTAGAACTATGGAGATCCAGACTAATCTCCATCCTCTCTTTCACCAAGAGGAGAAGACAATAACAGGATACCTCATGATGGAAATGCTCCATAGAGAGCGGAGATCACCCAGCAGTTAGAGCAGAGAAAAAAGGGGCAGCTGGGAACAGAAGGAGCCAAAGACATGCACTGGGGAAGCAGTGCTTTTGTTTCCCAAATCAGCTGGGACACTGTTTCCAGAAAAGGGGAGCAGGTACCATTGAAAGACCACCCTGAACAAAGGACTCCCGTGCTTCAGCTGAGTCACTCTTGTTGTAGTTAGGGCTTTGAGGGTTTTCATCTCAAGTTGTTTGCATAATGGTGGGGCTTTTCCTTTGCAAGAAAGACTCCTAGGGAATTTGTCTGAAATGTGGTTTCTTGGGCTATATCCCCAGCTATTTTTTAAAATTCAAGGATACTTAATACAGTGTTATATTAGTTTCAGGTGTACAATATAATGATTAAACAATTCTATACATTTCTCAGTGCTCATGATGGTAGTCTACTCTTAACCTCTACCTACTTCACCAGTCCCTCCACCCACCTCCCCTCTGGCAACCACCAGTTTGTTCTCTATATTTAAGAGTCTGGTTTTTTGTTTATTTCTTTTTCTCTGTTCATTTGCTTTGTTTCATAAATGCCACATATGAGTGAAACTATATGGTATTTGTCTTTCTCTGACTTATTTCACTTAGCATTGTATCCTGTAGTTCTTTCCATGTTGTTGCAAATGGCAAGATTTTATTCTTTTTATGGCTGAGTAACATTCCATTGTACATAAATACCACTTCTTCTTTATCCATTTCTTTATGGGTGGACACTTGCTTCCATAATTTGGCAATTGTAAGTAATGCTGCAGTAAACATAGGTCTGCATATATCTTTTCAAGTTCATGCTTTTGTTTTCTTTGGGTAAATACCCAGAAGTAGAATTACTGGATCATATCGGTAGTTCAATTTTTAATTTTTTGAGGAACCTCCTTACTGTTTTCCACAGTGGCTGCACCAGCTTGCATTCCCACCAACAGTACACAAGGGATCCTTTTTCTCCACACCATCCTTACTTGCCAACACTTACTTCTTGTGCTTTTTATTTTAACCATTCTGACAAGTGTATATCTCATTTTGGTTTTGATTTGCATTTCCCTGATGATGTGATGTTGAGTATCTTTTCATGAGTCTGTTGGCCATCTGTATGTCTTCTTTGGAAAAATGACTATTCATGTCTTCTGTCCATTTTTTAATTGGATTACTTGGTTTTTTTGGTGTTGAGTTGTGTAAGTTCTTTACATATGTGGATATTAAGCCTCTTATTGGATACATCATTTGTAAAATCTTCTCCCATTCAGTGAACTCTCTTTTTGTTTTGTTGATTTTCTTCACTGTGCAAAAGCTTTTTATTTTGATATAATCCCAATAGTTTAATTTTGCTTTTGTTTCCTTTGCCAAAGGAGACATCTAGAAAAAATGTTTCTACAACTGACGTCAGAGAGGTCACTGCCTATGTTTTCTTTGAGGAATTTTAGGTTTCAGGTCTCACATTTTGGTCTTTAAACCACTTTGAATTTGTTTTTGTGTAGGGCATAAGAAAGCAGTCCAGTTTCATTCTTTTGCATGTAGCTTCCAATTTTCTCAACACCATTTATTGAAGTGACTGATTTTTCCCCCTGTATATTCTTGCCTCCTTTTTTATAGATTACTTGACCATAAAAGCATGAGTTTAGGAGTGCCTGCATGGCTCAGTTGG